TTAGATACAGTATTTACCTGAAATTTGCCTTATTTCCTGAAATAATTTTAAATTCTTTCATGAAAATAACCACTGGTTATGTACCACTTGTTCTAAGTCATGACCAGATTTCTCCTTTGTGCTCAATTCAAACTTTCAGGATCAGCTCACATCAAAATGCCAGGGCTTGTCCCTACCCTTGACACTCCAGACTTTATTTTGATTATTCCCATTTATGGGGAATTTCCTTACATGTGGAAATTCCAGAAACATAATTGGGGGACCCTCACAGCTTACGGCTCTAATATGTTATATAGACATTTCTCAAGTGTTCTTTTCCCAGGTATCAGAAATATTCTGAAGTAGAACCAGGCACTTGGATTTGCTCTTAACCTGAACTGTGTCTTCAGCAAAATTAAATCTCTACAGTTAGAAAAGAATGCTCACTGATATTCCTTTGTGGTTTTTTTTTTTGTTTGTTTGTTTTTTTAAATATATATCTTTATTGATTTCAGAGAGAGGAAAGGAGAGGGGGAGAGAGAGATAGAAACATCAATGATGAGAGAGTCATTGATCGAACCCGCAACCCGGGCATGTGCTCTGACCAGGAATTGAACCCCGATACCTGGATCCTAGGTTGACGCTCAAGCGCTGAGCCACGCCCGGCCGGGCCCTTTGTTTTCTTTAAAAAATATGTTTTTATTGATTTCAAAGAGAGGAAGGAAAGGGGAGAGAGAGAGGGAAACATCAGTGATGAGAGAGTCACTGATCGGCTGCCTCCTGCACACCCCCGACTGGGGATCGAGCCCGCAACCCCCGCCTGTATCCTGACCGGGAATCGAACCATGATCTCCTGGATCATGGGTTGACCTCAACCACTGTGCCTCCCTGGCCGGGTAATATTCCTTTGGTTTTAATGACTGTCAGATATCTTTGAAAGTGCCAGTGTGCTTGGTTATATTTATGATAAGTAAGTTCTGAAGTCATGAAAGGAAAAGCCACACAAATCTGCATTTTCAAGAGCTAGATTCCTGACTAATAGACAAAGTTAATACACCTTAGAAGAGTGGAATGGGCAATAGTTTCCTGACCTTTTGGGGGAGCTAATGTCAAACCAACAGGCTCATAAGGGAAATAATTACTGTACATTTTCAGTCTAAACCTTTGGGTCAGAGTGCCATGGTAGGAATTGTTCAGGTAATGCTTTATTCAAATATATATATATATA